CTTGTAACAACCTTGTTGATATTATCAGACTTGTGGCAAGGTTGTTCCAACAAGTCCGATACAGTCATGATATAACAATATTGTTGCAAACTTGTGTCGTCAAACTTGTAACATTCTTGTTATATCACGACTGTATCAGACTTGTTAGAACCTTGTAACAAGTCTGATAATGCCATCAAGCTTGTTACAAGTTGTTAACAGCTTGTTCCAAACTTGTTACAACAACTGGGAACAAGCAGTGCGAACACAACTTGTCTCAAGCTTGTGAACAGATTCGTGACAATTTGTTTGCGGACCTGTAACAACTTGTGCGTTTTTACGTGTGTACAAGATGCGAGATTTTTGCGTGTGTACTTGAAGGTCACTGACACATGATATTATTTTTATTCCAGATACGAATTTCAAAATTCAACTCGTGCCAATTCCCCTCTCTGGCCGACCGTCAAAGTCTAATTATTCCGAATACCTGCGAGAATTCTACCGAAGCGACCATTACAACTTCTGGGAGAATTCCGTGTCGTTTCCCGCGGTTATGGTGACAGATACCTCAAACTTCCGGGCAAAGATGGACAAGTGTTATCACAAGAGATGCGACGGTATGCGACTGATAGATAGAAATGATCTGGAGTTTTTAAAACGGAATACGGATGCTGTTATTGGTGCTACTTTGGAACTCAGTGAAATAGGTAGGTGTGGCATGGTTCGCAGTGGTATGGCATACCATAATGCAAGGGTGGGTTGACTACAAAATTTTTGTAGTTCGCTATAACTACAGCTACTTCAAAAATATGTAGTCAGCTACAACTACTGCTACTTTTGAACAAAGGTAGTTCGCTACTGACTACAGCTACTGCTTAAAATATGTAGCGAACTATTTCGCTATTTCGCTACTCTATATTTTTTAGTTTTATGGTATTTCGAGCATCCACTAGCTCAGGCTGTAATATAACCTATAACAAATCGACTTACGACTACGAGTAGCAACAGTAAACAAAAAGGGTCAAAGCAACATTTTTGCAAGCACTACAGTGTTCAGGAGTGCCACTTTTCATTGCGCTAAAATAATCTTTACTGTATAAAATAATCTTTTAAACAAACCGTGTCTTAATATCATTCTATTCTATGAACGGTTGCTAACAATTTTAAGAAGTAGCGAATAGCGATTCGCTGTTTGAAAAGTAGTCAACTATTTGGCTACTTTTAGGCAAAATGTAGTTCGCTATAACTATTTGGCTACTATAACTATTTGGCTACTTTTAGGCAAAATGTAGTTCGCTATAACTACAGCTACTGTTTTAAAAAAGTAGTCAAAAACTACTGGCTACTTGAAAATTGTAGTTCGCTACAGTAGCGAACTACAACTACTTCGCTACTACCCACCCTTGCCATAATGGTATAGCAAGGTATGCATGGCATGGCATGGTTTGGTTTGGTTTGGTTTGGTATGGTATGGTATGGTATGGTATGGCAAGGTACGGTTTGGTTTTGTGTGGTATGGTTGAAGGGTATTGTACATGGAAATTATCGAGTGGAAATTTATATACATTTATTAGTCGTAACCAGGAACAGAAGCGAAAAATGCAACTTTAGGTTCCTGTCAGTAATCGAACCTGCAATTCCTGTGCAGCGCTCTATGGTATGGTATGCATGTTATGGTATGGTATGGTGCAGTATGGTATGGTACATGGTATGGTAAAGTATGCTGTGATATGGTATAGTATGCTGTGATATGGTATAGTATGGTGTGATATGGTAAAGTATGGTGTGATATGGTATGGTATGCATG